TGGAGGTGGAATGGAGTTTGTGGGCAGAGAACCTCCCCACACACCAGCTGGTGGCAGTTCTGCAGGAGGATGGAGAAAATAACAACGGTCCACTGGAACAACGAACCAGGATACAGGGCCCCTTGCTGCTGCAACTCTGCCTGCCTGTCCCCTGCCCTCTGTTGATTTTGCCTAGCTTTCCTCCAAAAGTAAAACTGCAAAAGGAAACCGCTCACAGGATCCAGCTCCATTATCACAGATCAGAGTTAAAAACAGATTTGGAGCTAAGAGGCAATAATTAGATAATGAGCACAAATGCATAGTCTGTACATGCAAATTTCTCTAATTCAAGTGGTTGGTATATGTCATTGAGCCCCATGCGTTGTATTTATCTGTTATAACTTTTGAGTCCCTTTAAATTTTAAAAAGTCTCTACATTTTTTTTTAAAACTAGTTTTTCACTACATTACATTTTTAAGGGTCTAGGCCAGTTACTTTGCAGGATTTCTCTCAATATGGATTTATCTTTTTGTTTCTTCATAATTAGATACAAGTTAAACACCTCTGGGAGGAATATTACGTAATTATAATAGTATAATATTGTGTCCACAAGCACATGGTCTATGTTTGTTTCATTATTAGTGATAATAAGTTTGATCAGTTGGTTAAAGGTATGGTCAAGAAATGTATTCATTTCCCAATTGTAATTAATAAGTAATCAATTGAGTGATATTTAAGAATACATGGCTATTTTTTTCCAACACATTTCACCCAGTGGATTTAGACTCTATCCGTGATCCTTAGTAGAATCTGTTCTTGAAACAGTTGCTAAGTGGCAATTTTTCTGGGCTTTCGTTCCCTTTACAATGAATCGGCAAAAATTTGAAGAACTTGAACGTTTAGCACAAGCTGGGCCATAGGCTATGCTTCTGGAGAAGGCAGCCTTCCTTCCGTGCTTTTTCAGGTATTTATATTTTAGGAATATATGTTGCACGCAATCCTAGGTCAGAACCAACCTTGCTGTCTTTTCTACCACCTCTCCCATCTCTCTACATCTCAGGAAAAACTTATCAAAGGCATTGTTGTATCATCCATCTCAAAGATGCTATATATAAATGTGACTGTGACATTGTAATGGGCCCTGAGCTTCTCCTCATATAAAGATATTTCTTAAGAAAACAACATATTTTTGATTTGAAACAATCTGGAACTTTTACAGTTTAATTCCCAGCCTAGAGATCAAAAGCAAGCTTGTTCGTTAATCATAAACCCATTCGCTCAATGAATTATTCATTTAGCAAATATTATATAGCAGACAAAGTGCTAGCAGCCAGGGAGATAGAGGAGGGAGCTTACTGTGAAGAGCTGTAGAATGTGTCCAAGCTCTGGTAGCAGGCAGTCCTGGTGCTGATACATGTTTGAAGACTCGTTCTGTGATAAATTCCATGACCTTAGACCTCAATTTTATCATATTTGAAAGGGGATAATAGCTATTTCACTAATGGATATGATAATTCACACACACACACACACACGCACACACTCACACACAGCCTCTGAGTTAATATGGTTCCACTTACAGTTTTTCAACTTTGCCATGGTGTGAAAATGGTGCATATTCAGTGGAGACCATCCTTTGAGCACTCATACAGCCATTCTGTTTTTACCTCTCAGTATGGCATTCAATAAATTACATCAGCTATTCAACACATTATTATAAAATAGCCTTGGGTTAGAGGATTTTGCCCAATAGGCAATCAGTATTTCACTAAGCAGACCACAGTACAGTTTTTGTGACATTTTTCCTCTTGGTAATTTCAACTCATTTAACCCTGGCTTTTTCTCAGCAGCTACATAATTCATGTTGAATAATGAAAGTTAGTATCTCCCCAGGAGCTCATAAGTTTCTAGCAGATTCCATTTTAGAGCCAACAATGGCATCACTAGCTAATTGGAACCCTTTCACCCAAAGTCTTGGTTCTTCAATCTCAGCTATAGGTGGCTAAGATTTAGAATTCAAAGAGATGTCCCACTGGCCTGGAAAGCCTCGTGTTAAAAGAGGCCCTACAAGAAAAGGGGCACATGAGAGTCAGAAGGCTCTACATTAAATATTCCTGTAACTTTGAGGGTTCCTGCATATCTGGGTGTCACTGAGATGCCCTCTGTCAGATTGTGTAAATTAGTATCCTGGTTCCCTCAGTTGCCAGCTTTGTGTGCTTGATCGATTTGTGTAATCTTTCTGTGTCAGTTTTCCTATGTTCTAAAAGGATAATCATAACTATTTTATGGATTTCATTGTGAAGTTAAGACAGGATAATTCTACGCAGAAAGCATATAATATATCTTAGCCATCATTACTAGGAGCAGTACAAATGGTAGTTTTATCATTGAGGGAACTCATGGCATTTATATTGTTTGGTGAATGTAACTGCCCAGATTCTGCTTCAGGAATCATCTCAGTCACTTTGCTTAAGGTCATTCCCATTTCTGAGGTAGCTCACATTTAATGACCAATAAAAATAGAATAATAGCCTTGCCACCTTAGTCCAACTTGGGGGAAATCTGATGGTCCATTCTTGCCCGTGGTTTGCTGAGGGGTTGATCAAGGTTGTTGTTGGGGGTCTACTGCAGCTCAGCCTATGTCTCTGTCCAATCCTGCTTCATTCCTCTCCCGTCCACAGGAGTAGATTCCAAATATTCTCCCTAGTAAGTATCCTATACGCTAAACTTCACTCTAGAGTCTGCTTTACAGGGAACGATGCCTGTGATAATAGGATGGGAAAACAAATCCCCTCTCTCAGATGTTGGACTCTGTAATCTAAGACCTTCGACCATCAGAGCTCTTCCTATATCAGTCTTTGGGGTACTCTATGGTGTTCTGGAAATATTCAGTAGTTCTTCCAGAAACTGTCTAGCCTCTTGGCATTTTCCCAGTGCTTTCGGTAGACTGTTTCCTGTAAGGAGGACAGTATTATAGGAAGGCCTTGAGCATCTGCCTGGAAACACTCTGTGTGGCGTTGGGTCTTGTATGCAAGTGGCAGGCCAGCCAGTGATAAATACTTTCTCTCCTGGTGACTGGTCATTTAACCTGGTTGTCTGGATCACAGAGGTTTGGGGGCATAGTAGAAAACAGAACTTGGAAAAGTTCTTTAGGTGCTAGACAGAAGCTCCAGATGTTTTGCCCATGCAGCATACAAATTTGTCCACTGGTAACAGGCTAAGTTGGTTTTGTATAGATACACAGATTTCAAATGTAGTATCTTCCTTCTTTTCAGAGAAATACAAGTGTCTTATTCTTGCAACTTCAGACTTCTTATCTATTTAAATTTCTCATATACTGCCTGCAGTACTTTGCAAGCCATATATCAACAAGTTCTTTTTGAACAATATTAATTTATCCAATTTAAGTGACTTGAATTCATTTCAGTCATAACTTGCTTTCTCACTAGTTGACAATTAAAAAACACACACACAAAAAAAAACTTCAAAGAATGAATGGATGAGTGAATATTAAGGAAACACAAATGAATCAATCCAGATTGTAACCAGAGTGATCTAAAACACACACTTTGCTTACCATTCTTCACTAATTTTATTAATGTACCCAGAAGATTCTGCGTAATCTAAGAGTTGTTTGTTTCTTCAGCTTCACCTCATTCACCAAGTCTTTTCTCCAACACGTGAAATCCAGCAAAAGCACACATGCCCATACATACACAGTTTTCAATTAGTTTCAGACAAAGGTCAAACTAGCTATTTTGGAATATGATATATTTTTCTCCAGTGCACAAAGCCATTTTAAATTTTGTTCCATTTCTCTTAAATAATAAACAAACGGAAAAAGTGTGCTGTATCTGCTATCATGTCAGAAGAGGTTGCTAATTTATTTTAAATTATCGAAATGTATTATTGTATAAATTCATTTTAGATGTAGATATATCCTTAAGTAAAATGATATATCAAAGTTACTGCTCTATTTACCACCTTCATGTTTCCTTCTTTGGAATTATTCTTTTGCTTGGGGTGAACATAATTTTACTGGTTTGCTATATTGAGTAGAGGAAGTGTTAGAGCAGAGGACTTCTGGCTTGTTTCTTTGTATTGTCTCTATAGACCCTGGGATATGATGAGGGATTCAGTATTGAAGTAGAGGTATCAGACACATTTCTAAAATTTTATTCTTCCTCCTTGCAAAACTATATATATATATATATGAGTGTGTGTATATATATGTATATATATACACATATATATATATGAGTGTGTATATATATATATGAGTGTGTGTGTGTATGTGTGTATACACACAACACACACACAAACACACACATATCTTTTGAATCTGAAGGACAGCCTAAATCCCAGCCAACTCCTCCCTCAAATCAGGGGTTCCAAGATGTAATTTTAAGAGAGAAGGAACTTTATGAACTACTTCCAATTCTGGTTTTGTGTGATAATTTAAAGCAAGTCTATGAACAATTTACAACAATTTCTCCAGGTAGCAAAGAAAAGATTTTTCCAAATTTTTTTTCTCCACCAACTTTAAAGATATGATTAAAAAAACAAAAAAACAAAAACAAAAACAACAATGAATTGCTCTAGCCAAGTGGAGAGTCTGCTCTTATTTTGCACACTTCACACTTGACTTGCATCTGTCTTGTTTTGAAAGTTGATTGTGTTTATTCTAGAAAGTAATATTAAAAACAAACTGATAGTTTTTAAAAGGAGAAATTGATGACTACTTTGTTTCACTTTCTTATTACTTTGATTTTTTAAGTTTAGGACTATAAAATGCAAACTGAAAAGATTGAAATTCTGTAGTCTAATTCCTGGTGCTGTACCACTTCATTACTTTACTTCAAATAACACCAGGATTTTAAAAATACATATAATAAATTATAATTAATATTTTACTTTATATTGAAACATTAAAAAGGTATCTTATATTAGCAATTGTTTTTAAAAATGTTTTTGATGTTTTATGAAGAAAATCCTCATTTAAAAAATTTCCTAACATATAGGGTAGAGAAGAATTCCTGAAAAAACTCACTCGAGGTGAAGTGGCTGCTGGAATGGTGCTTCAGGTAATACTAATTTGATTTTAATATTTTATTCTTCCTTCAATTTGCATTTTATTTAGCATTTTAAATTTGCCTGTAATGAGGCATCTTGTCACTACTTGGTTTGCAAGCCAGCAGTTTTCTCTCCTTAGCTGATGACAGTTGCCCTCTGTGTACAACCAGCAGTGTCTGATCATGCATAAAGAAATTGACCTCCCATACCCATATCTCATTTTGTGGTTTAATGGGAATTTCTGCCAGTCTAGTAAAAGGGCAGGGGGATCTTATTTTTAAGTGTCTGACTCTTTAGTTTACTTTGTGATGATGTTATGTTTTCTTTACTCTTAGTGTCTTTCACTTGGATTTCTTTATTTAACCCTGAAAGAAAAATATGCTATGATACTTCCGTATAAAGATTTTGAAAATAAAGCATGTAAGCTGGCAAAATCAATTTGAATTTTTAAAATCTTTACCACCTGCATATCCTTTGGAATCCAGATTGGGTTTTTTGATCCATGCCATGTTTCTAGAATCCCTCCCCTTTAGAAATACATACATATTTGAAATTAGTATTATTATTATTAGAAAAAAAACAAGAGTCAAAATGGTTTCAGTGTTTTTGTTTGTTTGTTCATTTTTGTTTTTGTTTTTTTGAGACAGAGTCTTGCTCTGTCGCTAGGCTGGAGTGCAGTGGTGCGATCTTAGCTCACCACAATCTCCACCTCCCAGGTTCAAGTGATTCTCCTGCCTCAGCCTCCTGCATAGCTGGGATTACAAGCATGCACCACTGTGCCCGGCTAATTTTGTATTTTTAGTAGAGATGGGGTTTCTCCATTTTGGTCAGGCTGGTCTCAAACTCCTGACCTCAGGTGATCCTCCCACCTCAGCATCCCAAAATGCTGGGATTAAAGTCGTGAGCCACCGTGCCTGGCCCAAAAGAGATGATCTACACCTCTGCTTCCCGTTGAAGTAAATTAAATTTTGTAATTTTTTTCTGTTATGAAATTTGGCATTTTCAAACATAGAAGCAGTGTTTGCTTCTATATGTTTCAAAACACTAAATTTCCTAATTTATTTCTATACATATGTTTTGTTTCTAAGTGTTTAACTGGAGAGACCTTTTTGTTTAATATTTTGTTACTAACTTCCTGTTAGTTGGTTTTGTCTTATATTGCAGGACTTGTATATATTCCACCATGTGGTGTTAGTGTGTTCTCTAACTTGGTGTTCTCCAATCCTTATGTAAGAATGATTGATTTTCACATTTTGGACTGGGAAATATTTTTTTAAATGTTTGATTTTTATTGTCTATTAAAGTGTTTCTCTCATTCATTCTAACAATAACTGTGCTCTCTTTAAATATATTACACTTGGCAAGATGTGGTGGCTCACACCTGTAATCCCAGCACTTTGGGAGACCAAGGCGGGTGGATTGCTTGAGGTCAGGAGTTCGAGACCAGCCTGGCCACATGGCGAAACCCCTTCTCTACTAAAAATACAAAAATTAGCTAGGCATGATTCATGCCTGTAATTCTAGTTACTGAGAAGGCTGAGGCAGAAGAATTGCTTGTATCTGGGATGTGGAGGTTGCAGCGAACAGAGACGATGCCACTGAACTCCAGGCTGGGTGACAGAACAAGACTCTGCCTCAAAAAATGAAAAATATATACATTATATTATATTACATATTATATTATATATTATATATAATATATTACATATATTATATACATATATTATAAATAATATAATATATATGTAATATATGTATTACATTTGTATCTTTTTTATGGTGATATTTATTGTATTGTTTGATTTTCAAATAACAACAAATATTACTGCCTGTCACTGAATAAGAGGCTCAATAAATGTTTAAGTTAATAACTGAATGAATTATTTAAAATCTTTGCTGGCAGAAAAAACTGTATTCCATTTACGAAGTCCAGGCACTTGAGCGGAAAGAGCTTTTGAAAAATAGGGCAATATGTGCCATATCCCTGGCAGAACTACAGGAACCTGTGCTTCAACTGGAAGATGAAGCTGAAAGAATCAGAACTCTCTACAAAGAACATTCTGCTGTAAGCATTTAATTAATCCAAAAATTAATGTGTAGAAATATATATATGTTAGTAACTTACACATGTGATTTGACATTATTATTTGGAAAATTATGATTTCACATAGGAAAAGTATGGGCAAACTAAGTAACTGTTTCAGGACCACACAACTTGATCTGCAGTGAAACTCTATAGCAAGACCATTAATGCTATTATCTAGAACCCCATAGTCTTAGAGGGTACTTGGGAAAAGCAGGTTTCAAGTGCGTGAGTAGTGACTTATCTGGTGTGAACGTTCATTATGTTAAACCTAATTCAACGTCTTCAGTCCTTCTTAATGAAATGCTAAAGTTATGCTTATTTCCATATAAAATGTGAGGGATCTGGACATTTTCATGGTAAATTTTTGATGCATGTAGATGTTTAGACATCTAGGATGAAAAATAAAGCAAATGTTGATGAAATATTTTCGAAATTACATGTTTATGGCAGTAACTGATATCACTAGCCCTTCCCAAAGAAAAATTTCGTTGAAAAACATGTATTAATCCTGTCATTAGTCTTTTGGAGAACTAGAGGGTGTGGCAAGAGTTATACATTCTTGTCCTTCCCTGCAGGGAGGCCATACGTATATTTATTTGAGCCATTTTGGCACCAGAACATTTTTCCTTTGCAAATAATAATGTAACTTTATATTTTTAGTCTTTGATAATTTTCAAAATGTGTTTATTTCTTAAAATTGTGATTTACAAAGTGTTTCTATTTTAAAAGTTTATTTTGAGCCTCAAAGTCTTCCTATGAAATAGGCAAGAGGGAGTTTACTGGTATCAAAGACTTGAGAAAGCCTGTGCTTGAAGAGCCTGAGCGACATGTATAAGGTCACGAAGCAAGGAAACAACAAATTCTGAGTACCACTCTATTTAGGGCTTCTAAATGCTATCATCATGCTCCTACAAAGAATGTATAACCAGTACAAACATCTAGTGGATAAGTGAGTTTAATGATGGCTCCACCTTACATTAATGATGGATATTTATTAATTGCACCAAAAGCCTAAGTGAGGTTGTCTGAGTACAATAATGAATTCCAGAAAAGATTAATGATTTTTGTTTCCTGTTATTTTATAACAGCCATAGTTTTACGTCTTCTTGTAGTTCAGTAATCATTTTTGGTTTGATTATATTTTAATAGTTAATAAATTATACGAATTAATAATTTAGCACACACTAAGGAAGAATAAGTTTTTATATACTTTTTGGTAGTGATTGCTTACTATTTGTATTTGGAGTTTTAGTTTTGATTAAAAGAAATATTATAACAAAAATTCATACTTTCTATGTAAGCTTATTTATTTTTGTTACTTAACTAAAATTTATTAGATTTTGGCTTTCTCATGTAATGCAAATAGAATATTGAGATTTTTGGATATTACAGTATATTTCTGTAATTCATGTGTGGTGGTTCTTTTCCTTTATTTGCCAAAATAAATGCTGTTGTTATTAAAATAGTCACTTTAGTATGATTTGGCCTAAATGAGGATAATTGGGTTGCAAATGCTGCACATCTTAATATCTGAATGTCCTCCAGGTACTTAATAATATACTTGATCAGAAAGATTTAATTAGAAGAAAAGTGGAAAAAGTAAAGAAAAAATTACGAAAAAAGGGGAAGAAAACACTTGATGCACTAATAGAAACTGAGGTAAGAATTTCAGTTCAAAATCTAATTTCGAATTTACAGCTTATGTATTTATGTATGTCAGTGAAAACTATTCAAGCAAGTTTAATTTTAAATGAATGTGTCCCATTTCTTATTGGTTGTACTAAATCGACTAGGGATAAAAGCACACACAGAGTCCTTGTGTTTTCATTTACTTTCTCTTGCAGTATCTTTCTCACTGGTCTAGTTTATCAGGGACATAGCTCCTAATCAGGATAAATACAAGGAAAATTTGATATTGCATTCATGCAGAAGTCTACTGCTTTCCGTGATTGCCATGCTGTCTCTTTTTACTTGGAGATTAAAAACAAAACAAAACAAAAAAAAAAATGAAGAAGAAGAAAAGAAATAAAAAGGAAAGAAAACAAGAAAGAACAGAGGGAGAAAAGGAAAGATAAAGAGAATTGCTATGGTCTGAATGTTTGTGTTCCCCCAAAATTCGTATATTGAAACATAATCCCCAATAAGAGGCTAGGCCTTTGGGAGGTGATTAGATTATGACAGCTTATTGGGATTAGTGCCCCTACAGGAGAGGCCCCAAGAATCTTGCTTGCCCCTTCTACCGCATGAGTATGAATGAAGAAGACACCATCTTTGAAGCAGAGGGCGAGGCTTAATGAGACACCAAATCTTTTGTTGCCTAGTCCTTGGATTGCTTAGCTCTAGAACTTTAAGACATACATTTCTATGGTTTATATAAAGTACTCATTCTAAGGCGTTTTGTTATAACAGCCTAAACAAACTAAGACAGAAAGAAAGAAAGAAAAGAAAGAAAGAAGGAAGGAAGGAAGGAAGCAAGGAAGAGAAGAAAAGGAGAAAAAAAAAAGAAGTCAAAATTAAACAAAAAATAGCATGATTACACTTTTGTTAAATGGCTCGAATCTTCTATTGACATGTATCTACTGTTTTAACCCCAAATCATCAATCTGACACTCTGAAACTATAAAATATCACATTTAATATAAACATGCTTAAACTAGTAATCATTTTCTTTTCAGATAGAGAACTTAGAATCACTAATGTAATTTAATTATTTTAATATTAATATTGTATCATATAATTTGACTATAAATTTTAATATTCCAAAAGACAACAATTTAATTTAAAAACATACATAATTCTTTAAATTTTAAGCCAACTACTACTAAGATTTTGGTCTTAGAAATCATCTTCACTTAGCCAATTAAAGTCAACTTTTTCCATTCATCTTACTACTGGTTTTGTACATAAAGCCTTTACTTAGTTGTCAGATAAAATAAAGGATTGACTTTACATGGTAAAATGATACTCTGTTTGCCAGGGAAAAGACCTCCACTGGCTTTGCTTTTGATAAGGAGAGCTTAAAACAGAAGGTTTCTAAATTATGTGATGCCCCATTGGAGTCACAGCTTATAAAAGAAGTATAGTTCAAGAGCCAAAAAAAATTTTAAAATAATTTACTTTTATTTACATTTTGTAAAGGACCCTGTGACCAGAACTATAATGGTATCCTCATCACTTCCAAGGGACGCTCCTTGTACATACCTCTTTGCCTTTCCCCCTGATGTTCTCACACACTACAGGCACTAAGTGTCTCTCATCAATTTTCTGAAAAGTCACCCTTCCTATTTATATCATGTCCATCTATCTCTTTCCCTTTTTTACCGAGTTGTGTAGCAAGAATATTTTAATACAGCAGCTGGGCAAAGGCAAGACTCACTTCTTCAATAGAGATGGGATTAGAACCCAAACTTGACTGTTAGAGTCAGCTTACTTTTTAGCCAAAAAAAGGAGAGAAAAGTCCAAGAGCACTGCAAGTTTAATGCTGTTGTCTTATGCATGAACTCAGTGCCTACTAGGTCTGTTAGGCACTACGTTCACATCTTCAGATGAAAGAGAGTATAGCCTCTCTGAGGAAGATGACTGAGAGTGCGTGAGGCTGTGGACAGGGAGTAGACTTCACCCCTTCTGAGAAAAAATGAAGTAAGTGAATTGCAGGGTTCATGGGCTATATTTGGTGAAGACTTCATAACAGTAAACACCTCCATCCCTGTCTGGTACCCAGGACTTTGTGGATTTTTCTGAATAGGCAAATGCTTAAATACATTCAAGTATACTTAAGAGAGTATCCTTGGTAGTGGCACTTCTTGCACACTAGAATTTGGGAATTAGGAGTCATAAGTGGAAGATGTGATTATTAGAGCAGTGAAAAATGACTGGTCAATGCAGAGCAGAGAAGAAAATCATTTTCCCAGAGTGAATATTGTCTTCAGCCAATGTTATCAGTAGAAGTCAGGCAGGTCAGCTACCTCTTATGAGCTTCATTAGTTATTATCAACGTCATTTATTAATGTTGATTTCAATGTGCTGACAAAGGGCAAACACATGGCTCAGATCATTTCATTGGATTCTCACAGCAACCCTGTAAAGCATTTAGTATTGCATTTATATAAATTAAAAGGTGAGGTTTAGAGAGGTTAAATTCCCAAGTAGCAAGAATCCCCTTCTGTCCAATCTCAAAACTCATGCATGCCAATACCTACTAAGTATACTAAAATCACATATAATTTCTTTTAGCAGCAGTGACCAAAAAGCAAGGGCCAGTTTTGGTATGGAGAAAATAGTAAAGGCTTTGGAGTCAGAGAAATCTAGTGTTTAACCAGTCATCACCACATAAACTAGCTGTACAATCCAGGCTACTTTGGATTTCCTATTGTAAAATGGATATAACATTTATCATATTGCTACTGTGAGTCATAAAAGGCATAGTTCAAATACAATGCATAGTATGGTAATTGGTGCATTGTAACACCCATTGATTGCTTCCTCAACCCGACTGCCTTTTCTACAAAGTAGAGACTGGGATTTGTACTCTACTAGAGAGTATTGTGTTTCTGCAGATGGGAGCAATCTACAGACCAAAACATTTGTTCCTACCGGACCTCTAAATTTTACCCCCAAGTTAGTATGTATTCAGCATAAACAAATGGATGTGTGACTGGAGACTTTAGGGCTTTTTCCAAATTAGAAATATCTCCCCATGAAAGTTCTTATTGCTAACATTTCTATCTCTAGTGAATTATTGGCTGTGGGAAAGGGAAGAAAGTCAATATTGTCTTTATTATTATTAAACTTTAGCTTCTAGGGTACATGTGCACAACATGCAGGTTTGTTACATATGTATACATGTGACATGTTGGTGTGCTGCACCCATTAACTCGTCATTTACATTAGGTATATCTCCTAATGGTCTCCCTCCCCCCTCCCCCCATGCCACGACAGACCCCGGTGAGTGATGTTCCCCACCCTGTGTCCAAGTGTTTTCATTGTTCAATTCCCACCTGTGAGTAAGAACATGCAGTGTCTGGTTTTTTGTCCTTGCGATAGTTTGCTCAGAATGATGGTTTCCAGTTTCATCCATGTCCCTACAAAGGACATGAACTCATCCTTTTTATGGCTGCATAGTATTCCATGGTGTATATGTGCCACATTTTCTTAATCCAGTCTATCATTGATGGACATTTGGGTTGGTTCCAAGTCTTTGCTATTGTGAATAGTGCCACAATAAACATATGTGTGCATGTGTCTTTATAGCAGCATGATTTATAATCCTTTGGGTATATACCCAGTAATGCGATGGCTGGGTCAAATGGTATTTCAAGTTCTAGGTCCTTGAGAAATCACCACACTGTCTTCCACAATGGTTGAACTAGTTTACAGTGCCACCAACAGTGTAAAAGTGTTCCTATCTCTCCACATCCTCTCCAGCACCTGTTGTTTCCTGACTTTTTAATGATTGCCATTCTAACTGGTGTGAGATGGTTTTTCATTGTGGTTTTGATTTGCATTTCTCTGATTGCCAGTGATGATGAGCATTTTTTCATGTGAAGGACCTCTTCAAGGAGAACTACAAACCATTGCTCAACAAAATAAAAGAGGATACAAACAAATAGAAGAACATTCTATGCTCATGGGTAGGAAGAATCAATATCATGAAAATTGCTATACTGCCCAAGTTAATTTATAGATTCAATGCCATCCCCATCAAGCTACCAATGACTTTCTTCACGGAATTGGAAAAACTACTTTAAAGTTCATATGAAACCAAGAAAGAGCCCGCATTGCCAAAACAATCCTAAGCCAAAAGAACAAAGCTGGAGGCATCACGCTACCTCACTTCAAACTTCACTACAAGGCTACAGTAACCAAAACAGCATGGTACTGGTACCAAAACAGAGATATAGACCAATGGAACAGAACAGAGTCCTCAGAAATAATACCACACATCTACAACCATCTGATCTTTGACAAACCTGACAAAAACAAGAAATGGGGAAAGGATTCCCCATTTAATAAATTGTGCTGGGAAAACTGGCTAGTCATATGTAGAAAACTGAAACTGGATCCCTTCCTTACACCTTATACAAAAACTAATTCAAGATGGATTAAAGACTTAAATGTTAGACCGAAAACGATAAAAACCCTAGAAGAAAACCTAGGCAATACCATTCAGGACATAGGCATGGGCAAGGACTTCATGTCTAAAACACCAAAAGCAATGGCAACAAAAGCCAAAATAGACAACTGGGATCTAATTAAACTAAAGAGCTTCTGTACAGCAAAAGAAACTACTATCAGAGTGAACAGGCAACCTACAGAATGGGAGAAAATTTTTACAATCTACCCATCTGACAAAGGGCTAATATCCAGAATCTACAAAGAACTTAAACAAACAAGAAACAATCAACCCCATCAAAAAGTGGGTGAAGGATATATGAACAGACACTTCTCAAAAGAAGATATTTATGCAGCCAATATTGTGTTTAACCTGGTAATATGTCCTCTAGATATATGTCAAAGGTGGTTCCAATAGGATTTGTTGGTGGAAAGCATGTGGGCCATGAGAGGGAGGTGTCCTCATATCATTTTCAAAATGTTTGCCTTATAATGGGCCTCAAAAGAAATATTTAAAAAATTACAGAGAAAATAATAATAGATATTTGCTGCATGTTTTCTGTGTGTCAGGGATTGTTTTAAGTGCACAGACGTAACAGCTCATCATTTCATTTTCATGATAAGCCTATGAAGAGTGTGCTATTACCTCTATCTTACATTTGAGAAATCTGATGTGTTGTTTTTTAATTAACTTGTACAGGTGTTCACACAACTCATTAGTGGTAAAGTTGCAATTCCAACCCAGACAGTCTGGCACTGAAATAGATGCTCTTATATTATTGTATTGGTCATGTCACCCAAGTTTGCATACAATGAATTAAAATCAGAAATCAATAACAAAAATATAGGGCAATAAGAAATAAAAAGTATATGCACTACTAGAAATATTACCGAATCACATTTTTTATTAATTTGCTTCTGTGCTAAGAAATAACTAAAATATAAATTACCACTTATTTATACATGATCAATAATGACAAACTATATAGCAAAATTTATGACATAGGCCAATATAATATTTTGAGATTACCAATAAATGATTTAGATTTTTTTAAAAAATCTAAAAATATTTAACATATTTATTAAGGGCAAAGAATAAAAAATGAAAATTAACAGCCACGGGAATGATTAAAAGCGGTATAATTCTATACACAGTGAATTGAATACTACTTTGGATAGGAATTTGTTTTAAGATCTATATGAATTGTATCATTTATTTATAAAATACAAATGGTGAAAACTGGGTCAAAAGAAATAAAACACAAGAATAGATCAATGATTATAGAAGAAATTTAATTTGTCCAAACTCTACCAATAAAACCAAGAATCAGTCAAGAAAGTTTATGAATCTCTCTACAAATACCACTTACAGAGCATAAGAAAGCATGGAAATCTTCTAAAGTCATTCTATAATGAAACTAAAACGTTGCAATCATAACAAAAAATTAATAGTGCAAGAAACAAATCCATTGGTGATCTTGCTTATGAGCATAGATGACAAGATCATAAATATATTAGCTAAATAAATTTTACAGTGTGCTAAAAGATATGCAAAACTATACAAAACCAGATTCCTTTGAAGAAGAGAATCTTCAGCTAAGACTAAGAAATGAATGATGAAATCTGATCTAAATGTCAAGTTTAGGGATAGAGAGCATGCAGTACTCAGAGTGTCCATACTCACACCTGTCTGCTCTCTGTCTTTGGACTTACTTTCCCCCCGATGCCCCCGCCAAATAACTTAATACTCCAATGGGCCTATCAACAAATTCTAGTTAGCTATATTTCCACTACATTCTAGTATAAGGAGAAAAAATCCTTTTATTTATCAGTAGAAAATTTTCAGAACTTCCAGAAAAGGAAGGAAACAAAGCAGGAAGTATGTGAAAATTCAAATGCAGTACCCAATGTTCAAAATCTTAGATAAACAGTAAGGTTTTATAGGAAAATAAATATAAAATATTAGTTGTTATTCTTGAAATCTATGAGTAAAGAAAGTATTTGGAAGCATATGGGGAAAATAGAAGATAGTGGAGGCAGAAGGAGCCATTGAGATCTGTAGAATCAGTTGGGAGAGTAACACTAATTAGCAGCCATGCTGAATGTGGGGAACAATTCAATAACAGTCAGTGAGTCACTAAGTTCCATTTGAACACCAACAGTCATAAAGGGATGACACAAAAATAGATGCACAATCAAATGTTCTTTCTGGAATTGCACAGGCCTACCTTGGAAAACTGTGCTGGTAGTAAATATTGCCTTCTTTTGCTGGAAAGATCAGAACAATATATATTCTTGTTCGCCTGCCAATGGACTTCGTACATGTTTGAAAACCAGTGACCACATGTTTGCATCTTGAAATGACATGCTTATAAAGTGTGCATTTAAGTGTATGTTTGGAAAGGAGAGCAAGTTTGTGTAGGGCAGAGAGAATAAACATTTTTATTTTTTAGAAAATTAATCAGATATAACAGTGGAGAATATAAACCTCAGTTGGTTTTTAGAGACAGGGTCTCACTCTGTCACCTGGGCTGGAGTGCAGTGGAGCAATCATGGCTCCTTGCATCCTCAACCTCCTATACTCAAGTGATCCTCGCATCTCAGCCTCCCAAGTTGCTGGGACTACAGGTGTGAAACACCGCACCTGGCTATTTAAAACAATTTTGGGTAGAGACCAGGTGCTGGCTTTGTTGTCCAGGTTGGTCTTGAACTCCTGGCTCTAAGTGAACTCCTGGCTCCTCCTGCTTTGGCTTCCCAAAGTGCTGGGATTTCAAGAGTGAGCCATCAGGTGTGGCCCACTATTAACTTTTAATTGTTTACACAGCCAATGTAATTGTGTCCCTGAATAGCAGAGATTTGAAAATCCAAGTATTTAAAATAAAACACTCCTGTATTTTTTTTTTTTCAGAGTAAACGCTCAGCAATTTTTAAAGACTTAGAAGCAACTAAAAGTAAGACAATGATTTTTTATGCAAAAATAAATGAATTGAATGAGGAATTAAAAGCAAAAGAAGAAGAAAAGAAAAGTTTTGATCAGATACTTGAAGTGTTAAAGTAAGTACTTAAACTTTATCAAAATATGATGTGTATTAAAAATATTAATAAAAGAAATAAGATGAAATTTCCATATTTAAAATGTATTCTTAAAATGGTTCATATTTTTAATTATAACATAGTGTGGAATATATGTGTGATATTTGTTAATTTTAGTTTAAAAAGCATAATCATAAACTGCTTTCATTCATTATTGCTTGTCTGGGTTTGTTCTTATTTTAATAACTTGGAATGTTTCTCCCTTTCCAAGGAGGAGAACTTTTATTCTTTATAACATTAATAATATTCTTCATTACTTTCAGATGTTTCAGAATTTATATGTCATGGTTAATAATTTATGGTTTTTCACCCAAATGTTTTTGATTAGTTTCAAGGTGAGAGTTCAGACTCAGATATTCTATAAAACCTCATGCAATGTATTCAAATTTATCATCTTCCAAAGTTTCTTATCAGTCACCCCATGAGTCAGGGATATAACTGTTCAGTGTTACTAAGGCCTTTGGCTTGGAGAATGATCATGCTCTCAGGCTCATTGGGTATCCATAGACCCTAACCTAGTGCTTATTTACTCTTCCTTTACTCATTTTGCTTCTCATTTCCTGTCTTGTAAAACACTGAGAACTGGACTTGGAGGAGTATTAGAGGAACATGCATTGGCCACATTTAGGGACAACGGTCTGCTTTAAATGAAGAAGGCTACTACAAGCATTAGCAAAATCATAATGCTTGAGGGACAAAGTGTCAAAAAAAGTCTATGCCCAGCCTGTTGCCATGCATTCTAGTGGAGTCATGTCAATGTCCCCATCAAGCATTTGTTTAGCTATTATCATAGGGTAAAACTTATTTTCAACATGATAATTCAGCTTTATCTGAAAAGGACTACTCATATTCACTATATTATGTGAAAAAGCAGGAAAACGTATCATTTACTTTTAAAGATATTTATCCACCTTGTTTAACACCTGTCAGAATATCTTGGGACTCAAAGATATAAATATAAATGTATATAACTTACATTAAACTTATAAAGATCTAATTCAGGAGCTGATGAAAATCTTTTCTTCTGGCTTCCTCCCATTTCAATCCTAACTTCTTCTGAAGCTGGATCATATGGCCTTTCGGACAAGAGTGGTTTCCATGTCCCAGTGAATCAGTTCTCTCTCTAAACTTGACAAAACCCTGCCTTCCAACAAGAAAAGGAGAAAAAGAATTAGCCAATACTGTGGAATCACTTATACAACTATTAATTAGCAGTGATGATATATAATGTCAAATAATATTTAAAGCTACCATTGAACTACTTGTTATTTTGCCAGGTACATCCTGGACAATGTGTGTACCTTGTCTCATCCAGTTCTTACAGCAAATGGTTAAATTGTATCATTTCCAATGAACGCTGAGAAATAGAGGCTCAGGGAACCTAAGATCACACTCTTAAGTAGTGGTAGAGCTAGCTTCAGCTTAGCTCCAACCTGTTCCAAGTGTGTGCCCTTTCAACTAACCCCCTAAGATGGGATTACAAAGGAAGATCAGCTGTTTTATGAATAATCTACTGATATTTTCAATAATTTCCCATAACAAGTTACTTATTATTTATTGAGAACTCATAGTGGGCATACTGCCAGGCCCCAATAAGGACAAATAAATGGCAAGTGGGAAAGTGTATCTTCAAGTGTCTGAAGATCTTTGCAGGGAGACAAACCTCACATATACAAGATAATTAAAATATTGTGTTAAAAATAATGGCAATCAAAGCCATCCTTGACCCTCACTTAATTTTTATAATTGCTTCTTAACTAGAAAGTGGAAAATTAAAATCCAGACCCATAAGACTTCAAAGTCTGCTTGTTTTATCACTGTGAGAAAGGAAACATTATTTTATTGCATAGATATGCACGTATATAGTGTATATAAATGTCTGTGTAGATATAATTAATAAAATGCTATAATTAATATAACTCAATATCAAAACAGTGTAGAGAACAAAGTACGTGTGGTCAAGATATATCAATGTTTTTTGGGAGCAACTATGAACATTTTATCGTTTTGGTCACACTAGCTCCTTCCTGTGTGAATTTCATTGGTTCTCTATGCTCCAAGATGTCAGTATCATTGGCTATTGATCAGACATCCCTTAATAATTTGGAATGTTATTGGTATGAATGTTGTAAATGAAATACTAGGGCAAGGCAGATGAAAGGGGAGAAGAACCTTATTTCCTGTAGAAGAAGAGGCTCACATCCACTAAGTGTAAACAAGGTGATATGTTTTCAAATTTGCTGATAACAGCTATAATGAAGAGAGGGAAAAAATGAGTACTTAATGTTGAACTGCTGAATCAGAAAAAGGCAGGACTAGATTTGAATTCTGGTTCTGTCATTTACCAACTAGTTGAGCTTACACAAGCTAATTAATTATCCAAGTTTAGGTTCTTCAACTCTAGATGGCTATCTCATTATTATTTCATAGAGTGGTTTTTGTTGTATTAAATGGGATATTATTTAAAAGCAGAGATATTAATTTAGCCCTTCCCAAAATATTAGTCTTGCTGCCTTTATAGTTAACTGTGCAAGTGATTAAATTTTCTGTATCAGTAGACTTGTTAACTAATGTGGATAGAATAAGACTGTGCTGAGCTTTTTCAGATACCTTATTCTGGACACTGAGTTGCTGCTCAACTTTGGCAAGCAAGTTATTGTTACCAGTATTGTTTTAACCACGTTTTGATACTTTTCTACTAGTATTATTCCCTACATAACTACTGAGTTCACCATAAAAGTTATTTTACCTTTGCATTAGGATGTGTTTAATTGCAAATGATAAAATACAGACATGTACACACACGCATACATACACACACCTATTCATGTACCAGCTTAAACAATAAAAAATGTATCATCTTATGTAACAGGAAGCATAAAACAGTAAAACTGCATCATCTTACATAGCACCAGCTTAAACAATAAAAAAAAAAAGGTGTCATCTTATATAATTGGTAGAGCAAGCTGCAGGGTTGGTTGACTCAACAGTTCAACACCGGGCACTCATTTTTTTCTCTCTCTACTATGGCTGTTGGCAGCAACTTTGAAAGCATGATGTGTAAGTCACATTTAGTGGGTATGAGCTCTTCTACATGGAATTAAGCGCTTCTCACTCATTTCCTTGAGCTATCTTAATATATCTTCTCACCCCTGGACAATGGGTCATATGCTGGTTGGACTAATCAGAATATATCTCTAGAGTTACATGCTGCTTGGAGGAGGGGTTTTCTTGAAATGCCTGGAGAACAGAAGCATGCTGGACAGGCAACCAAGATAATCCACTGTTTTTCCATAGATTTTCTTCTACCTGGATGATTTAGATGTAGCCCTATGGAAGTAAGCCTTGGGAAAAACCAGGGAATTTTTCCAAGGCCTGTCAGCTCAAGGCTCTTCAAGATTTTTTATTTGGGTCCTTTTAAAATATCTCATAAATGCATTTTGAAAAATAGAATGTGCATTGATTAGTGGCACATGGAATTCTTTCTTCACAGGAACAAATTTGTAACTATGAGATTTAAAAGGGAACATGCACAAGCTGTGTTCGATCATTATATGCAAGAGAAAAAAGACTGTGAAGAGAGAATCTTTGAGGAAGATCAGAGATTTAGAGTGCTCCTTGCTGTGAGACAAAAAACTCTTCGAGATACCCAAGTGAGTATTATCTTTGAATGTTTCAAAATGAAAGAAATATAGTGATAGTCAAATTAGCAGAGAGTTTGAGACAATTTTTATCCTGAAGTAGCAAGGGTGTTGAGATTTTAAAACTAAATTTGTCAGCATAATAAACCTGTAAGTTTTCATTGTTTCTTCTAAGTAATTATGATATATTCATAGAACATATTGTACTTTTCAATGCATATTATGTGTATTCTCATTTGTTATCATACTTTATTTTATTTTGAAGTCTATTAATATAAAAATGTAGGCTATATTTATTCCAGAGTCCTTCTGTGCTTTTAATGAAAGACCTGAGAATGAGAATGGTTATCATTTATTTCTGAATAAATATACTTTGAATGTTTACCAACCACTTTTTTGAGGAAGGAAAATACATCACACTCATTTGCTGCAGAAAAATTTTGCATAATATTCTAATGGACCTATAAATTTACTTGTTTGAAACAGGGAAATTGTATTAAAATTTCTTTTAAGCTTGAATTTTTATTAATCAAATTATATAAAGCTATACCTATAAAATGTTTGCATTCAGTTAAATGATTCCTATCCCATTTTAAATTTTGCGATAGTTTTTGTTACATTTAATTGTAATGAATTAGTACCATATTTAAAATACATTTAAAATATTACTCATTTTTGGAAGATACAATGGGACATCTTTTCTAAAAACCAAAACAATTTTCTGTACTATTTTAAAACTCTTTTCTGTGAAAGTTTTCAAAGTATATGTAGTATCAATGTATGAACTATTTTTGATCCTCTTATTTATATATGCAAATATGATATTTATATATTCAATTATTATATCAATATTTCAGTTACTTTCTCTACTTTTTACATATCCAAAGACGTGTGAGAACTTTTTTTTAAAGATTATTTGGAACAAATGTACATTGAATGAACAAGTATGCGGGTGAAAGAACGTACCTTCTTTAGTTCTATTGGTGTGGTTTGTCTATAAGAAAATTATTAAGAAGAGAATAATACTTTATTAATAACAATGCTAAGTAACATTCTTCTATTTTAAATGTGGCCATTACATTTTTAAAAAGGGTTTTCTTCACCTAAAAATATGAAAATAATTGGTGCCATCTAGTGGCAATATGTGATACCTCTTCTTAGAGCAGTTGCTGAAACCGATGGCTGAGTTTCAGATGTGTGAGTGGAAGCTTAGACTCTAATGCACCTCTCAAAACAAGAAGGCTTAAGTTATTTACCGACTTAAGCATTCTTCCCCACCTCATATTTTATTAGAGCAGTAGAATTAGTTATTTGAATTCAACCACATTTTCCAATCGCAGTGGTGCTGAGAACACAGTGGGGTCTCAATAATCATTTATCGACTGGCATTCCAGCATTATAATGGAACAATAGTAATTAGTGAAATGGCAGAAGATGGTCTGCAAGAGAGAGATGAATAAAACATCCTCTATAACCAGCCTCTAAATCACTGAGATTTGCATTTCTTTTCGTCAAAAAGCCTGTCCCTACCTTTCTACTCCCAACTGTACCCATCCCCAGCCACTTGGAAGGATTATATGGTCTCATGATTTTTTCTGGGCACTGATCTCTATCTGAACTTGTTTTGGTAATTCTTTTATACCTGTTTTTTGTCTGCCTATCTCCTGTCATAATAATGTCTTCTCTAAGGGGAGGGAATTTTCTTTTATATCCTTCTCTGTATCCTAAAAGCTCAGTACCATGTCTAGCCAGAAGTACCCAATAAGTGTGTGTTGAATGAATAAATAAATAAATAGAGAATGGATGCTTTTTTGGATAATTTTGCTGTCCACATGCTTGATTGCAGCAAGAAGCAGGAGCATTTCAGAAACACTGTTCAAACTCCACCAGCCTGATACTCCTGATACTTTACCAAACTCATCCTGGATGCAAAAGCTGAATCAATCTCTTGCTCTGTGCGTCTCTCTCTCTCTCTCTCTCTCTCTCTCTCTCTCTCTCTCTGTCTCTGTCTCATCCTCTTCCTTTTCCTGATACTTCCCACTCTAGTGAAAATGGTTAAATCATCTTTTGCTTTCTAGCACTTAAGGATTCTGTTAACTATGTCAACAGTGCTTGCCAGATAACCTTAAATTTATATGAAGTTGTCTCTTATCAGTTTCTTGGATAGCTCTTTGTTGTGCATTCACCTTATGTGACCAGAATCATAGAGTTTGAAGATGCAGAGTTTAGAGACTGATGTGCCTTATCATTAATGATGATATTTATTTATGATTATGATCAGTTATTAAGTGTTAAATAATGGAAAGACCATGTGATTTCTCATAGAAACCTGATCTCATCGCTGTTTAGGAAGTGGTAAGGGTGCAAATGGGTATGTAATGTAAAGGATCCCTGCAAAGAAAAGAGTCTCATTAAAGGCATTGTTATAAATGTAATGTTACTAATCTGAGGTGTCCCTTTTGGGCAAAAGAATTGATCACAATTATGGATCATCTGTAGTGATGGTTTAATAAAATACTTCACAAAAGCCACAAGAGTTAATGCAGCATATGAGAAAACACACAATAGAATTAGAAATACAAACAGCTAATAAAAACAAGAAAATACACACAAACTTCAGATAACATAAAGACAGCATGGTTCTGGAGTTAAATTTGATCTCTCTTCAGTAGGCAATTCCATATCAGAGATCCTTAAATGGTATATTTTTTAATAATGTAATGGCATTTTTACTAACTGCCTATAATTTGCAAATGCCATTGCTTAAGATTAAATTTTCAGTGTACCATATTCATCAGAGGACTATAGTTCTAGCTAGTGCTGTTTGTCCTTGCTTTTGGAAAGGTCTATACAAAATTGTAGGTTACATATGATGTAATTTGTTATGAGTTGTTGTTAGAAAACCTGCTGCGTCGCCTATGTCATTTCCTTTCTCAGTGTGTTCTTTCCATAGATTTGCTCTCCCCTCTATAATTTAGCTTATGAGAGAAGTACAGTGAACTACACTGGAAGAACAATTTCTAGATTGAGTTCTAGTAGAGACAATGTCCCATTCCTTGTAGAGTTAATTGCTTTTTATTCTGCTTCATACTTTCTACTCTCAGGAAATACCTCTTTCTCTGGCTATAGCAGTCCCAAATTTAGATATTAAATTAGTTTTTACCCGTTCTTGGAAAAGTTTTAGCTTAATACGCTGTTTCATTTGACCACCAAGTACTGGAATAGTAAGCATTTCAAACAAATTTAATCTCTGAGATATTCTAAAGGTTATTACAATTTGTATATTATTCTCCTATTGGTCACTCATCATTTCTGCATTCTCACAACTATTTCATGAGTATTACTGTATTCAAGGCACTCAATGTTGAATGACTGAAACCCTACACTCCATTTTCAAGACACATCAGCAGGAAGACGGAAGATGTAAAAAACAGACTTGCATATAGTGGTCACACTCAAATTATAAATATGATGACCACGTCCAAATTACAAACAGTAAATTGTGACCTTATCCACTGTTCTAAAAAATTAGAGATTACTTTGAGTAAAAAACATGACATATTCTGTGGTCTCAATTGTGGGAAATGAATGTGTGATAAATCTGGAAACATTTAGGGGCGCTGACCAATGGATTTCCTGGGCAAGAGTAATTTGCCTTAATGACAACCTTCCTGTCGCAAAGACTATTTTACTGTAACATGATTTTTTTTAAAGTTAGGAACATGCTTTTCATAATTAATATTTCTTTTAAAAGTACTTCTGATAGGATTGACCGTCAATTAATCACACATAATTATATAAATTAGGCTTATCGTATTGCTTTTTAAAAGTAACTTGTTAAAATCTATCGCTGTTTGAGGAATGAACCTTTTAATTTGAAGATTGGCCGCAAGAGTGGTAATTTTGTATCAGTGATTACCTCATGTTTTTGCACAGATCTGGTGCTTCAATCATCACAAGAACTTAACAGGAGAGAGTAGCACTAGAATATAGAGGAAGGATGGGGCATGGATATGGGTGATTCCTAAATATAAATTTAATAGATTTTGAGTGTTTCCTTAGAAACAAGGAAGAAGCTTCTCTTATTTGTGAATCTCTTTCTAGCATCATGTCACTCCTTGTGGATATGTGGCAGAATTACTGCTAATACTATATTAAAGCAATGTCTATCTGAAATTTGAATAGTTTTTTTTATTTTCTGCATTGACAACTACCATTTTTAGCTTTTCTTTTTTTAACTACCTAGAGGCATCTATTGCAATTATTTGGCTGTAGTTCATTTCAATTTTTCTAAAAATTAGTGTTTTTCTTATACAGTTGTGCTAATACCCAATGAACATAGTTTAGATATTATAATTTTCTCAGGGAACATTCATTTTCCAGTGGGAGTGGAAAATGAATGTTCCCTAAGAATATCATATCACTTTTGCAATGCCTTACCCCACTATGGAATAAAAGCAAAAATATGTGATTTTTCTCTTTTGATCAACTAAAATAATTATGTTTTCAAATATCAAATTGCATCTTTAAATATACCTTAATTGGCTATGGTTTATTAAATTTTTAATACATTACTAGATTTAATTTACAAACATTTAATTTAGAATATCTATTGGTCTATAATTCTATTTTGTACTTTTTTAAAGATATTGGTATAGAGATTTACTACCATTTTTAAAATGAAATAGGAAGGTTTATTTAGTTCTTTTTCTATGTTAAATTGCATGGGGCATTTCAGTTCCTTAAAGGTTTGATACATTCTCTCATGATACCATCAAGATATGTGAAGGGTCTGAGATTTTACCCTGGCAAGTTAACCGGTTAGCCTGCCATAGTTTCACAGATGCTAGCAGAAGAAGACATGAAACTCCAGCCTGAGAGACAAAGAACTTTATTACTACACAACAGGCAGCATGAACTGTTTCCTTTGGCTCCAAGACTCCAGGGGTGATATGAAAGTGGTCCATGTGCATGCTACATATATCAGAGGTTTTTATCACAGCTGACAAATCCTGAATGTAGGAATCCCCCAATTTTATCAGGTGACTTCTAGCAAACTTACCCAACTTTTGC